GTATGTAATGCATAATATTACTAAAAAAAAACTGTTAATAATTTCAGCAGATATCTTTATTCCTTTTAAAATACCGTACGATCGAATAAAAACGGCGTCAGCGATGGCTATGAAATGATGATCGCTGTCATTTTATATGGAAATTTATATGGGAACTGTAATCGATCGTCATTTCCAAGCCAACTGGACGCCGTTTTTATTCGATCATACGGTATATACAATTTATTTTAAATTTTGAAAAACGATGACAATCAGTTTTAGACATAACAAATAATAACCGGCGTATAAAATTGTTAAATTGTTAAAAATAGTTTTTATTTAAACAACTTGGTTTGGTTTGGTTGGTCGTCAAGGTTATTTTTATTAGAACGTTTAAAAGAATTAGTTAATTGCTACAGATTGAGTATATAAATTGTTTTTTTTTTGTTGTTATAAAAATTGTCGATACCAAATCCCTCAAACAAATATATCGTACGATAGGAAAAAAACGGTGTCAATGACGGCTGCGAAATGACAATCGATAATAATTTTGTCGAGGTCAGTCTCTGGACGTCGGCGTCGTAAAAATATTAAAAAAGGATCGGACGTTTGCATTTCACTCAATATAAAAATAAATTACAACCTTCACGTCAACTAGCTGTAAGCGCCATTAAAAAATAAGGAAGAGTACGACGTATATAGAGCTTGACCTCGCCAAAATTATCGTCGATTGTCATTCCCAGCCATCTTCGACGCCTTTTTTTTTATTGTATATTACCTATAATATCATAAAATTATAAAAATTTCTTCATCAATTTTTTTTAAAAAAAGATTTTAATATATTGATTTGAAATTATTTAAAAAAAAATATCTAAAAATTATAGGAAAAAAACAGTGTCAGAGACGGCTGCGAAATGACAATCGATAATAATTTTGGCAAGGTCAATCTCTGGGCGTCGTAGAAAGATTAAAAAAGGATCGAACGTTTCCATTTTACTAAATATAAAAATAAATTACAAACTTCACGTCAACTAGCTGTAAGCGCCCGACATATATAGGACTTGACCTCGCCAAAATTATCACTGATTGTCATTCCAAGACATCTACGACGCCTTTTCTTATCGTTTATTACATATATCATAAAATTATAAAAAAATCTTCATCAATTTTTTTTAATTAAAGATTTTAATTTCATTGATTTAAAATTATTCAAAAAAAAATGTTCCAGTTAAAAATATACGAATTTTTCTTTATATAGATAGTAAATTTATTTCGATTGTCGTTAATAAGTAACTCAGCTGATAAGAAATAATAATAATAAATTCATAAAAAGTAATAAATCTATAAGGTTAGCTCGTCAAATTCAAAAAAAATTCCTCGAAAAGATAATTATTCTGGCTCGATAAGCTTGGCATTTGTAAACGACATACACCTAACGCTTTTTTTATGTTTTATTACCGAGATACTTAGAAAGCTGGGAATTCTTACAAAATAACCTTACTGAGATATTTTGACAAATATTCATTAAATCAAATGATAAACAGTGAAATTTTACGAATTTTACTCCAGAAATTTCATCCCAAAGGCAAACATCAAGAAGACGGGAAGAATATCAAATATATTTCGCACATTGGCGTACCTAGAAAATTTTTTAATCGGTACAGTGTTGCCAAACCGAAATGTTTTTCCCAAAATCTTCTGAAAATAAAACTATTGGCAACAATTCAAACAAATAACATTGAAATCAACGAGTTATACATCGTAAAGCATTCAATCCCCCTCTCATTGAGAAAATACGTCAGTCAAATTGAACTATACAGATGCGGGATCGTTTCATCATTGATTGACCTTTTTTTATAGTCGAAGCCCGTTCATAGCTGGTTTTTAATAAGCGTTGATTCGTTTAAATGTAACAAAACAACAACACATGTTGATCTAGCCTCAGTTCTATCGTTTGTCTACTTTAAGTGATGAAGTGCTTGGTGGTGTTCTATTTGAATCTGTTAAAGTCTTGGATCAAGAAAGATATTTTGTTGATTTGTTAGAGAGCAAACGTTAGAAACATGAATAAGGAAGAATACGTGTTGTTTATTAAGGTACAGTTAATCTATACTAATATATAAAATCCTTAAGTGACTGACATACTGATTAACCACGATCCTGCTCAAACCACTCAACGTAAGAAGCTCAATTTTGGCATACAGGTTGATTCTAGGGTGTAGAGGTTCGACAAGAAGGGATTTTTCGAAATTCCAGTTCCAAGAGGGTGAAACCACCCCTCAAATATTACAATATTTTTTATTTAAAAAACAGGTATATTTTATTTTGTTTTTTTACATATTTTATGATTTTTTAAAAATGTTTACAGGGTGTTTCAAAAAATCTCTGGTCATTGATTAACGACTTGACGTAAAAAGCTGATTTTTGGAAAACAGATTGACTTTAGGGTGTAGAGATTCGATAAGAAGGGATTTTTCGAAACTCGAATTCTAAGGGGGTGAAACTATCCCTCAAATATTAAAATATTTTTTATTTAAAAACCGGTGAGTTTTTCGGAAAAACTCTTAAACACGTATATTTTATTTTGTTGTTTTACATATTTTAAGATTTTTTATAGATTTATACAGGGTGTTTCATAAAATATGACCATTGAGTAATCACGATTCTGCTTAAACTGCTTGACGTTTAAAGATGATTTTAGGCAAACGGATTGACTGTGGGGTGTTTTGATAGTTTTAGAGATATTAATAAATAAATTAAAAAAAATTCAGCCTTTTTTAAAAAAAAATATTAAAAATACTAGAAATATCCTGAAATCAAAACTATACTAGGTATTTACTATAATTGGTCTGTACTTACTTTCCTATTAATATCGTAATCTTAAGTCAAACAGGGTGTTCAAAATTCTATGCCAAACTTTTTTTTTACTTTGGTGAAAATTTTTTTTTTTTACTTTGGTGAAAAAAGTTATACCTTCCGGTAAAATTTAAGGTTAATCCAAAAACTTTTTAAAATTATTTTTGAGTATTTTTTTCAAACGCAGATTTTCGAAATGCGTAAAAACCAAACCTGAATGTGCCGCTCACGTAGCTCAAAAATTGCCAAAAAAATTGACCTGCATAGTATTTCCTAAAAATAACTCAGTTGTTTTGTTGACAGTCAATTAAAAAAGTGAAGGTCTCTTATTTTTAAACAATATAAACCTAATGAAACAAAAAATTTTTAAATTATATTAAAAATATACACGGTGTTTTTTTTTAATTTATTTAGACATTATCTTACTTTATTTCTGTTTTAAATGGCTTCAGAGCTTGAAAAAGCGAACTTTTTGTATCTGCATTTTATATGAAATATCTACTAGAGTGGGGGCATACATAATGCAGGAAAGTGCATTCGTTTAGATAAAACAGGAAGAATTATTGGTCTAGGGACGGAAACATGGATTCTGTTCCAACTTCTTTTTGCTTGAACAACGTAATTTAGCCTTTAAATATTTTTAATTGCTCTATATAAAACTCTACTGCCAAGAGAAAACGATAATTTCTAATACAAGCATGTTTGGATATAGTTGAAAAATGTTTTTGAATAAATTATCATTAAATACAGAGACTAAATAATCAGTAAAATTTTATAAAGATATCTAACACCCAGATGCAAAAAACGCAGCTTTTGCAAATTTTTGGTCAAGTTTTTAAAATAATATTTTTTTTAATTTTTATCCTTATTTCCAAACAGTTGAAAAAATTTACCGCACCAAAATTATCATTATCACACCGTTTTTTTTTTCGATCATACGGTATTTTCAGAAGTTTTTTGTGTATTAATTTAATCACAAGGGGTTAGGATAACAACCCAAATTAATTATTTGACTGTATCTCCCCAAAATTTCGGCAAAGTTTTAATCCTATTAAAAGAAAAAAGTGTGAAATAACAAAGGGAACATATTTATTATTATTTTAGCTCTGTGTCGGTTTTTTATTTTTATATCAGAGTAAAGTATTTTAATTTTTATTAATTTTTTTGATCGAAAAACGTGGCGTCAGGGTAGCCCCTGAAATACCAGTCAGATTTTTAATTAATTAATATTAAAATTTCTCGGTTGAGAAATACGAAGAACTCTATATGGGACAATTCTCTAAAATGGGACATGCATATCGAGGCTTTGTCGAAAAAATTAAGCTCTGCCTGTTTTGCATTTAGATCTGTTTCTAAGGAGCTTAACTTGTCAGTGGCTAGAACTGTTTATTATCCACTTTTAAGTCGTACCTCAGATATGCCCTTCCATTCTGTGGTACGTGTTGTGCGACTCAATTTGACCGCATTTTCAAGCTCTAGAAGAGAGCTGTTCGGTATTCACTGGGACTAAACAGTATTGAACTCATTGCCAGGACTTTTTTAAAAAATTAAAAATATTAACTCTTCCTTCCTTATTTATATTTGAATCCGTTTGCCTAATACGTAAGCATGTATCAGCTTCTCAAGACAGGCCATCTCACACTTATCCAATTATTGAACTCATTGCCAGGACTTTTTTAAAAAATTAAAAATATTAACTCTTCCTTCCTTATTTATATTTGAATCCTTTTGCCTAATAGAAAGGCCATCTCACACTTATCCAATCAGGAATGCGGAGCAAGATCTTTATCTACCTACCCCACGCTCAGAGTTAGTTAAAAGTTCAATATTATACAACTCAAAAAAAATGTACAATCAACTGCCATTTGACATCAAATCCATAACATCATTTTGTTCATTTCGTAAAGCATTGAAATCTTATTTACTAGAGAAGGCTTTCTACGCCATAAATGACATATTTTGATAATCGAATTTGATCTTGCAAACACTGGTCTAATAATTGCTATTGCTATATTTACTATAAACTTAAACTAAATATTTTTGAATATTATTTTTATTTTTTTTTATTCTTTGACATTGTAAACATTTATAAATGTTGATTTTAAACAATAAGAATGACAATGTAATTTGTATACTTAACAATAATTTTTCTCTGTTCATTTCAGAGTCGCAAGCTCAGTATCACGACGTATGCACCAGCAGAGGTGGCCTACAAAGGTTACAGGTTCCTGATCACCATGAAACCCAGCAACGTGTCCATGGTGGATTATGTCAGGGAGATGAAGAATCATAACGTTAAAGCTGTGGTGAAACTATGCGAAGAAGGCTACGATGTCAAAAAGCTCAACGAAAACGGAATATCAGTTCTGGACCTGTCCTTTCCAGATGGTAAACCACCACCAGACTCTATTATAGAAGAATGGTTCAAAGTGAGTTAACCCTCTATAGGTTCATGGTCGCTAAATCGACCACTTTAATTTAACCAACCAACATTTTTTCGAAGAAATATAAAAAGTTCCCAAATTTATTAACTATCTACTGACACTACTCCATTCTAAATATCTTCAGAACGGTTGCTCAGGGATTTTTACGTAAAAAATCACGGAAATGTATATTTCTTGACTCAGTAGTTTTATACAGGTACGGGCGAAAAGATAATACTCTTTAAAACTGTTAAAACACATGAAGACTACAGGGGAAAAACGATCTAAGTCACATTTTCTTACTTTAAAGACTAAAGGAAAAGAAATAATAAAATGTAGCGAATCGTAAGAATTTTTTATCAATAGTTGTATGTATAGACATTAACTGATTAACAGACAAAACAAAGAAAAATAATTTGTAGCAAATTTGTTAGATAAAATAAAACTCGCATTCGCTTGGTTCAATGGAAAAGTGATCCAAGTCCATATGGAATAATTCTGTATGTGGTTACTCCGAGGATTACTCGTGCTGGAATAAAGAGAAAAATATGTTTTTATTCTCATTTTTATTATTAATATTGTTATTATATTTTCTTAATATTTCTTTATTTATTTCTTATTTTTATTATTATTTTTTTATTAATATTATTAGCATTAGATTATTTTTTACTTAGGAATGGCGATTTGTTTCGGATAAAATGAAACTACACTACTAGACAGTTCCTTTATGGTTCCACTAGAACATTTCCAGAATTTAATTTCTCTGAATTTAAAACTAGTGACACAATAGACATAATCAGACTTCTTTTCTTAAGCAGAAATAAAAGCAATATACTTTAATTGATATTACTCACCATATTTGCATCGTTTAGATGAGCATTGTTTGACGCACAAGGCAAATTTGTGTAGTAGTCTTGCAGAGATTCATCTACGAACTTTTTCAAAAATTGTAACTGCTCATACTTGAGTTTGGGCAAAGGAATTAGGTCAGCATAAAGTTCTTGTGGTGCTGAATATCCCGGTCTGCTAGGAAATACATACGTGCTCTATACTAAAGTGTGATGTCCAAAAACAATTAAAATAATATTTAATATGTGTTTTTGTGTTTTGTCCAGTTTTAACAATTTTTAACTCTGTAGGAATCTATGTTCAAGAGGCTTGAAAAAGACATATACTGTCGAAACGTCGTCATAAAATAAAATAATGAACAAAATCTAGAAACATCTTTGCAACCCCAACGACCTAAAGCCAAGAGTAAAAACAAAAAATAAGAGTCATAATGACATCAAAATCAAACTTCTCATGTCAAAGAACTCCCAGACACCAATTTTCATCCAAATATTGACGTTACTTCAGAAATTATTTGGAAAAAAATCGAAATAAAAATGAAATTTCTACACCCTGTATCTCGGAAACTAAGCATTTTCGGACATACATTTATACGAACTTTTTTACTTATTTGTATCTGCAGAATATGTTGCCAAAGTTTCCGGAATACAGTTCGGACCACTCTGTAATTAGATCATTACATATTATCTATTTGCTTTAACAGTCTCTGGTTGAAAAATCGACCGATGAAGACAAAATCTTGATTTTATCAAGATTTTGTTTCATCTGTACGGAACAAAACCAATTATTTAAGTTTAATTGTATAATTTAATGGTTATATTCCTAGTATAAAATTATAATCTTGATATTACTCTTAAAACAAACTTAATGTGGTAGTTAGATATTCTCTGGAAAGGTCTCAATTTATTCTGGATCTCGTAATTTCCAGTTCGCACAACTCTGGACCAACAAATTAAAGACAATTTAGCCATCATGGCGTGTAATTTTATTCATATTATTTACCAAAGAGATGCATATTAGAGAATCTTCTGTATGATTAGGGTTTCTACAGGGTTATTCACCACATTCGCCAAACGATTACACTTTTAGAAATCACAAATAAAGAAAAAATATCAAAGTTGCATTTTTTTAAACGGAACACCTTGTATATTATTACGTTTTTAGTTTCTACGATTAAAATAAAGGTAAATTTGATTAAGGTTTACCGCACATCAGTCTTACCGTTTTTGAAATATTTTCGATTTTGTGAAAATACAATAACGATTTTAATGCTTCAATTCTCTAGTGGTCTTTAATTTTTTAAAACAAAGTAAAGTTGTTTCTATTTACTAAATTTTGTGTTGCAGTAATAAAAATAATACTACTTTGTACAGAGTGTCTGAAAATTTATTTTAAATAATTACTAGGCTTTAAACGGCAATAACTTGTTTAATTTAAACAGAACACCCTATATATTTTACATGAATCAGATGCAAAATTTAATTGTCTATCAAATTGTATTATACAATTTTTTACTTATCTCTTCAAGTTTTCGTAGAAAATGCATTTTCTTATAATTTAGACCTCATTTATCAATATATACCCATGGAATATTGACATTTTAGATGATTTTTAAAGGTGTAACAAATTTTCAAAGAGTACAGATACTGATATTGTCTATATAGTTCGTTTAGTTCATTAAAAAAATATAAAAGCTGTTTAAATATTTGTTAAAGAGGACCAATTAATATGACTCCAGTATTCGAACTACATTAATTGACTGTTTACGTTGATTAATAATAATTGCTCCAAATACTAAAAAACTGAATTTTGTACGTGTGTTAGACAGTGCGGTAGAAAGTAACACCTTATAAATTTTATTTAATTTTTTGACGAACCCTTATTTATAACAACAAAGACAACTATCACTGCCAAGCAAACTTTACATACATAAAATACATTCAAAATTGATGAATTTTGTGTTTCAAGCTTAATTCTAAAGTCTAGAACTTATTTTTCCTTGTCCAGGTATTAAGGAACACTTTCACTGACAACAAGGACGCTTGTGTGGCTGTTCATTGCGTCTCAGGGTTGGGCAGAGCCCCAGTTTTGGTGGCCATAGCCCTGATAGAACTAGGCCTCAAATACGAAGAAGCTGTGGAGTTGATCAGGTCCAAAAGACGAGGGGCAATCAACACCAAACAGCTTGAATTTCTGGAGAAATACAAGCGGAAGCATAGACTGAACGGATCACAGAAAAAAACATGTATTTTGTTGTAAAAAAATAATGGGATCCGTGAGATTTTTTTATTGAAAATTTTGTGACATACTGTGCTGTCTTTTAACTTAGACAAGGATATTTTTAGCGCTAAATAATTGTGTTTTTACTTCGTTTTGTTGATAGAAAAACTTTTTAAAATTGTTTGTATAATATTGACGTTGCATGTTACGTTCACGATAAGTTAAAAGACAGTTTAGAATACTTCTGAATGTTTTTTTTTATCTGTATGACGCTCATGTACATAGAATGTTTTTGAGATGATTAATAGAAACGGTTTACAATATTTTGACAGAAAATGTTAAAAAACTTGTCTTTCTATAGGGTTAACGTTTGAATAAAAAAAATTAAGGAAGGACCATATCAAAAAACTTAGTTCGATAGCGATGGGGATCAAAAATGGCCGACTTAAATTCCGGTTTATCATATTCCGTTCAAATTGTATTCAAAACGTGTAAAAATATGATTTAGGGTAGACTCAGTAATTTGTTGTTTTATTTTACGTTGTCAATAAATGTATGGTAGTTACTAAAATTGTTATAAAAATATATAATTTTAATAAAAATAGATAAGTTATAATAATTATTTATTAACACAAACATACGATACGCTACTGAAGCAAATAATTCAAATTGAAGTATCTAAATTCCTTGACAAGTAGTAAAAATAAAAGCAAAAATGCAAGAAAAAATACAGAATTAGTTAGTTTTAAGTGAATTTCATAAATGATCGGTTTACCTAAAGTATGTATATTATATAGTCACTTACTAGCGAAAAGTTATTCCATTATTTTCCTCGATTTTTGACCGAGATCTACCGCACGCTACACAACCATCAATTTTACAGTTTTTTTTTCGATAAATCGCAATAGTGAAGTTTTGTTACAATTATTACGATTATACTCATTTCTTAATATTTTTATTTAAAGGTTATTCAGAAAATTTTGATTCAAATTATATGTCTAGGAAACAACTAGGTTATTGGATTGCTGTCAAAACATGACATATATGCGATATTTTGACAATTTCAGCACCAAAATAGCATTCTGTGTGCATGAGCCTTTATCTATATTCAGAAAAAATATCCTGGACAAGGTAAATCCAGTATATACATAGTGTTTAAAAGTTTATAAACCTACTGAAACTTAATAAATTTGTGATACATATTTCTATAGAACTATAGTCCGTCTAGAATGTTTTCGGAAAAAAGAAAACAAAATTACAATAATTATCGATATACAGGGTTGTTCACCACATACGACACGGAGTATTGTAGCTAAACGATGAGATTTTTACAAATTGTAAGTTTTGGGTTCGATGAAGGACTATTAGAGGTACAATTTAAAAATAATTTTACAAGATACAGAGTGTCCCAAATAAGTAAAAAATATCAAAGTTGTATTTTTTTAAATGGAACACCCTGTATATTATTACATTTTTAGTTTCTACGATTAAAATAAAGGTAAATTTGATTAAGGTTTATTATACTTAAATCTTACCGTTTTTGAAATATTTTCAATTTTGTGAAATTGCAGTAAAAATTTTAAGGCTTCATTTCTCCAAGGGCATCAAAGTTTTTAATACTAAATATTTACTGAAGTTTATTTACTGATCAGTAATTGTGTTGCAATAATAAAAATAATACTACCTTATACAGAATGTCTAAAAATTTATTTTAAATAATTATTAGCTTCAAACTGGTGGAGCTGTTCCTATTCCTATTCAAAGGTGGAGCTGCTCGTCCGTTTCAATCATAGGTTTCAATCTTCATTAGTCCCCATATGTTTTCAATGGGACTAAGGTCTGGTGAAGCTGCTGGCTATGGAATTGTTGCCAAATGGTGTTCTTGCTTCCAAGCTTGACTCTAGGCAGATCTATAGCATCTTGCTTGCGGATTACAGATGTCTTAGAGTGTTACAGAAAAAAAATCATTAAAATTAGGAAAAATATAAAATTCCGGATACTTTCTAGACGGACTATATTTCATAACAAAACATCAAGATGATATATGAAATTTGGTCTAGTTGCATTACAGAATGTTTATGACGTAACTTAAAATACTTCCACAAGTGATAGAAAAATACCTACACAAAAATTTTGCTTTAGTGAAATTATTTTTTGACATATTTATATTTTAAGGAAAATAAATGATATGAGAATGATTGCAAGAATAACGCAACAATAAACTATAATTGAAGATTAAATAATTCTTGAGTTTGTCCATTTATAGTTTGTTTGTTTTTTAAACTATATTGTTATGTATTTTAATAATGTTTTGAAGATTTATTTTTGAAATAAACCGACTTTTAGTTGAATACGTGTTGTTTTTATTTGACTAGTTCCGTTATGATGACCTGTATCAAACTCCTGAATAAAAAAAATGGTAAAGTGCGAGTATATTATTATAAACTTTTTTCCGATTTAGCTGAAATTTTGAATGTGCGTATAAGTAATTTAAAAATAAAATGAAGAAACACATTACTAAAAATTGTATTAATCAATAATAAATATGTAAAAAGTAAAAATAAATATGTAAAAATTAAAAAAAAAACGATTAAAAAAAAATCGCCTTGACTAGGATTCGAACCTGCCTTACTACGGCTCCAACGTCATAGCAGCGTAAAGTCCTAACGCTTTAACCACGCAGCCACCGAGGACTTGAAAGATTCTATGTAAAATTCTTACTTAAAAGATAATGTTTAGTGAAAGTACTTTTTTATTTATAAACATTTATTTAATTCTGTTTTTAGTATTTGTTCTTGTAGCGGCAACATAGATACATTATCTGTAAAAATTTCAACTGTCTAGCTATAACGGTTCATAAGATAGACCTTTGTGACAGACGGACGGACGGACAGCTAAGTCAAAGAGTAGATAAGACAAGAGACGACAGTTCGTGCGGAACCTTTCATGTTTGAGTGGTGGGGAGAGTGACCTCGTCTCGCTTGTCCCTTTAAATTTTCGTAATTTTTTCGCGGGAAATTTGAAACAGACTATTATTAAAACTTGCCTGTATAGCTTATAAATAGTTACTGTATGGGTAAAGAAATAAATAGAAACGAAAAAAATGAGTTTTCTAAATATTATATAAAATAAATTATAATTAGAAACATATTTGTCGGGGAATAAAGATAATAAAAGCAATATTTTGTATATCGTTGGTAAACAAGATAAAGTGACCAAGTCGATTTGTAAGAAATGTTTTATTTACGTGTATTTTTTTTACATATGGACTTGAACAAGTGTAAAATCACAATGTGGAGTTTACGTACAAAAAAATAGAGTTGCTCAATTTTTTTTGTAAAAATATATTACAAGCTTCTAAACATGTCTTCGATCTATGGATTACATTTAGTTTAATAACATAATTATATGGTATATTTCTATAAAAATACTTTTCAGGATCCTTTGGAAAAGAGTGAAATATTATGTTTGTCGAAGAATAAGACCTATTTTTGCAGTCTTTATAAGCACACACATTGCCACCATCTCGTCTTTTCCTGCTACTCGTGTCCTGTTCAGTATTCATATTTAACAATATTTACAAATTAGTACGCAACAAAAACAATACTAAATTTAAATCTTAAAAACGCACAAAACGATAATATATCGAAAAACTCTGAAAACACACTTTAAAAAGGCAAAAATGCAAGAAAACAACTAATCAGATTTGTTTATGTTTAAGCCTGATTAGCACAGCTGATTAGCGTCCTAAAATCATAGGTTAGATTGTTAGATTAGATAAAATACGCCGTTGTCAGATTTTGAGATTTTATCTGTTTGAAATCGATCAACTTAGTCATTCTGTTTCTTTGATATTATCAGTACATTGCGAAAAAAGAATCTAAACCAACCCAAACTAAAAATTTACATTTCCGTATTAACATACGTTACTTATATCTTTCTTATATTATTAATTTATTTTCAGAAAATCTTGTTTTTGAAACTTTGAAATTTTTCAAAGAAATATACTTGGCAACAGACAAAATGGGACTTGATGGGACCTTTAAATTTTAATATATCTGCGTCTCTCTCGCGAAATTCAACTTCTTTGTTCACTGTCGTCTCTTGTCTTATCTACTCTTTGGCTAAGTCTTAGTAATAGGGTTCCTGTTTTTACCCTTTGGGTACGGAACCCTAAAAACTAATATGCTTCATGTTTTTTTAATAATATTGCAGTCAAAAACAATCTTAACAGCAAATTTATAGGTAGTACAGACCTTGAAACCGTCTTGGGTTATCTTACGATCTCAAATAACCGAAAATAAGAGTGCCTATTACACAGAAGCAACAAAGCAAATTACCGATTCTATGCAAATTTCACAGGTGTGCTACATAGTACTAATTTCTTGCCTGAGATGCAATGATAAGTACGACTCTTCAGTGGCATCAAATTCCGTTTAATTTGTTTTCGATAAACTGTTATAGGTATGTGTATATACAGGGTTTTTATAAATTTGATCTCAGTAATAGGGGAATCGTTCTTAAACAGAAATAAACCGCAATTTTTTCTACAAAATTGGTTTGGTTGTTGAACAAGCAATTAATTTTTTGAAACAATAAATGGGACTTTCACATCGAAGCTCTATCAAAGAAACTAAGCGCTGCCTGTTTTGCGCTAAGATCAGTTTCTAGGGAACTTAACTTATCAAACTCTAGAATAGCCTATTATGCACTTTTTGAGTCGCATCTTCGTTATGTCCTTCCATTCTGGTGTACTTGCTGCGCAACAAAATTTTATCGTATTTTCAGACTTCAAAAGAGATTCGATATTTATTGGGACTGAACAGTAGAACTCACTGCCAGAATTTCTTTAAAAATTTCAAAATACTGACTCTTCCTTCTTTATTCATTTTTGAATCCGTTTGCTTAATCCGCAAGCACATATCTGCTATTCCCGAAAGGCCATCTCATAACTATCCACTTAGGAATGCGGAGCACGATCTTTATCTGCCAACCCCGAGCTCAGAACTAGTTAAAGGTTCAATACTGTACAATGCCAAAAAAATGTACTGTAATCATCTGCCTTTGAATATCAAGTCGCTTTCATTCTTTCCCGCATTTCGCAAAGCTCTGAAATCATACTTACTGGAGAGAGCCCTATATGCGGTAAACGACTTTTTTGTTGATGTTTAATCATGAACAATTTTGAATTTTAAAATTTTGATCATCTCTATTATATCTATTTACTGCTTACTGTTCTGCAATTGTCCATGTATATTGTTTTTGTAATTTTAATGGATTTAAATTTTTTGGAGTTGTATGATTTGTATTGTATATTTTTTATTATTTGTATATTTTTTGTGCTTTTGTTGTTGTATCACTTACACCCTATTATATTCTGGGACACCCCGTATATGTACGTGTATCTGCAAACGAAAATAAAGACCATCATCCGGCCTCATCGTTCAAAGATCGCTTGTGCATCTTGCCCAATAATCCCCATGAGTATAAAACACAAACCTGCGTGTTTTCTGGTTCATTGTTTTACGAAAAGCCGTCTTAATGGCACCACAGATTACGAGTAATTACACTTAGAACACGTCTAGATACAGTAGGTGTAAAAAATACTATGTTGCGATCGGGACGAATAAGTTTTGTGACGATCTGTATCATGGTGATAGTTCGTTTTGCGATTAGCGTAAGTTTTAATAGTCGTATTGTTATAATTTATCAGAAATTAACATTTTTTAGTAAAACTCACCGATTTGAAATTAAAAAATAAAATGTAAAGCATTACATGTCAGGACAAAAAACATTTTTGGATAAAGAATCTAGTAGGCTGCTGTCAAACAGTTTTATTTCGTAATAATATCGTTACATTTTCTTCTGAACGATAACCTCTTAAAAATTATTTACCAAGACAATTTTTAATTCTGTATTTTAATTCATGAAAGTACAAAATAATAAAAAAGTACATATTAAAAAATAAAAATGTTTTTGTCCTGACATGGGGTAATGCTTTACATTTTATTTTTTAATTTCAAATCGGTGAGTTTTATCAAAAAAAACACAAGAGATAAAAAGTTTCTAAACAAACTAAACTATCCAAATTAATTTTTTTGCATGCGTTTGATAAGATTTTTCTTTAAATTTCATTAACAAGTATAATAGGGGTAGTTTATTTCAACCCCTTCCACTCATTTTAAAAAAGTGAGAAAATTACCAGAAAGTGTGTTTTCATAACAGTAATGCTTCCATAAAATTTCATTAGTCTATCTCTTTTCGTTTTCAAGATAAAAAATTAAAACATTATTTTTCTGCCATCTTTGTACCGCGATATCTCCCTAATGGTTGACTTTTGACCCAACGTTTATGAAGCAAACTACCCTTTATTTTGAACAAGTAATCTGATGTTTTTCGCAGTTGTTTTGAAACACCCTGTATATTATATTTCAGAAATCTGCCTAAGGCTTAGCTTTGATTAAGGCTTGATTAAGGTTTGCAGAGCTTCAGCATTTCATAAAATAGCGAGGAATTTGTTACAAAACCATATAAATTATATATGTACTGTAATCACAAAACTTTAACCTATTTCCGTATTGTAACGGAAATTTAAATTATGTCTTTATTTTCGAGAAAATTTAGTCCAAACATAAGGAATATTTTGTTGATGTTTGACAATCAAAATCTTAAAGATAAAGAAGTTGTCTAAAAATGTGCTACAATACGGATATAGTACTCGTATTATCCGTTATCTTTAATTTCCTTCTTCATTTGTGTCAAAATACAGATACTGATCATACTGATAAAAATTAATATATATAATATAAATTTAATAACATTTTTTTTTAAATGATACGACCTAAGCTTTGTAATGATAACAAATTTTATTATTATATAAAAAAACACAGGTATACAATAATTAAGTTAAACATCAAAGGCGAGTTTTTTTCTCTAGATTCAGCCAATATTGCAT